TACTAAGCGTGACTCTGAAGGTGCAACAGCTCAATGCTATTGTACATGCAGCTGCGTATACATCCATCTTTTTTAAGGATGAAAATATTTTACCTGCTATGAATCCGGATTTGACATTGAATCGCTTTTTCTAAAGTTAAAATTTTCTCAACAATTTGTACTTGAAAAGACTTGTAGTCCCTTATGAATGCAGAAGGCCTCCTTCAAGGTTGTCGACATTACAAAACTCAAGGGTTGAAATTGCCAACATAAAGACTTCTTTTTCCCCAAAACATGTTATTTCTTTGAATACAATTCATAATGAAAAGAACATATTATGCAAATAGCCTTCTATTAATTTGCAAGGATGACTCATTGGTAGCTGCTGACATGGCCAGGAACATAAACTTACAACGTGCTCACAAACACAGACAAACTGACCAGACGACTGTCCTCCCTGCAAATGTCACCTTTAGCTCTTTCAAATCCCCGTGTCGCCGTCCTTCTTTGGGTTCCTTCTAACTGTATCCCTCTGTTTACAGTCTTCATTGTCACAGGAGAATTATAACACTTTCCCTCGTTTACTGAGTTCTCAGAATTTAGGGACGATATCTAAATTTCATGGGAAATGGTACGAGGGAATTCCTACATGGAAATTTCAAACATGTCGTCCCCTAGCCCCCCCCCCCCCAATAACATTAGGAAACTTAAAGCAGCAAGTAACAGAAACATGACAGGATGAATTATATCCACAAAAGGACATCTGAGCAATCGGGGGTGTAGGTTTGGGGGATGGATGGAGCTGGGTGATGCAGACAGGCAGGCAGGTATGCTGCCCTGGGCTCCATCCCCAGCACACTGAGGAAAAGCTTGCTTAGCATTCTTCATGTTCCCACTCCATTTATCTCCCCTGGAACAGAGGTTTCCTCTGGTCACAAGGCGGGTGAGGATTGTTTGGGGTACCATATTCTCTCATGCTAACATCCAGATCACAGAAATGATCATTTATTTTCTACCACTCTGAGATTTCGTGAGTAAAATAATCCTCACCAAAGTAATCTTTACAAGGAGTCTTCAGTGACTTTCCCTCATGCTAGAAACAAGTAGGATATTCAGCTCTAAGGCAGTCACGGCAGAGGGAAAGAGAACGAGCCGTCATAGCCAGGATACACAGGGCAACCAATTTAATCTGAAACACAATAATGGGGGCCAGGCATTGTCCCACTGCTCAGTTTTATGACCCCTAACCTTTTCTTTTTTTAAGTTTTCATTGTTTTGGAAAACTAAAAAATGCTTTTATTTATTTGCACAACAGCTATTAGTATTTATTAGAAATTTAAGTTCTGATGTTTTTAAAAGTTATCAATTTGTTTAAAATAATACACTATTTGCTGTTATTATTCTATATTGGGAAGAATTAATAATGATAATCTATAGTCTTAAGATCTTGACATAGATAGGTTCTCCTGGATTGTCTCACCATATGATGTAGAGGAATCATAAGGGTAGTTACAATCAGCAAGCAGCAGGCAGAGAAAGGAAGAAGTCTATGAGCAGTGCAGCCTCAGGGGGAAAAAGGGCTCAGAGCCAAGGCGTGGCCTCTCAAAGGTGTAAAAGGATGAACAGATTCTCCCAAGGGCCCCAGAAGGGAATACAAGTACCTTCATTTTAGCTTTTGAAATGTTTATTTTTTACCTTCCTTCAGACACCCAGAATTATATTAAATTGGTTTTTTGTAATTTTTATAGCAGCAAAGGAAACAAACAAGTGCACATAAAAATCTAGGAATGAATGGCACTGATTTCCGCTCCTGGGGCAGCCGATGGACTAACAGGTAGGCAGATGCTCCCGTCCGCCTCACATCAGACTGATGTGACATTGTATGTCACACTGGCTTTCAACAATTCACAGAGGGGAATAGGAAAGGTAAACAACCTCTTGTCACTGAAATAAAACAAGTTTTGACCTCATGGCCCTTTTAGAAGGACCTTGGGACCTGTTGGGAGGTCCTCAGAATATTCTTTGGGGATCCCTGGTGAAGGGTGAAATAGTGTTTCCTATCCCCTCTTAAAGGACTCTTTCCCTATATTCCTGTAGCAAACTTGTTTGGCACGGTGGTGATCAGATCAATGTAGTGTAATTCTGACATTCCTTGATCCTCCCTTGCCCTGAAGAAGCTTTTACTTTAGCTGAAGAAAAGTAGTAAGTGCATGGACTGAAAAACACAACTTAGATGATTACAGACACACAAGAGGAAAAGTAAAGGTAGAAAGAGAGGGAGGAGGATTTTGGATGATGGGTAAAGAACTTCGACTCTCCAGAAGTAAAACTGGAGATGAGGTGGGATTGGAAAGAAGGGACCCCGGACCGGGTTAAGACTTCAAGCGAAGACAAGAGCCACTAAAGTCTAAGCTCAGAAAGCAGATTGGCAAGTTAGAGAAACAGAGACAAAGGCCTCAAGACTTGAGTAGAATCCAACAGAGTGAACAAACACAAGGAAGCAAGTTGAGTCAGGGAAATCAGGGTCGTGCAGGATACAAAGGATCTGGGGTCTTGTACCAATGGCCACACAAACTCACTGGAGGAGACCAGGGCATCCATCAAATCTGCCACCTTCTTAGAAAAGGCTGCTCTTCAGCCCAACCAATTCTTGGTCTTTGCCATGACTGCCCAGAAAGGAGGGGGACTTCAACAGACACATCTTACCTTAGGTAGATCTGGAACCGATCAGGAGATGTAACTTACACATCGCTTGATGCAGAAAAAGATTCCAAACATTGCAAGTGTAGGTGTGCGGCCAGAAACACACTGTGTGAATGCAATTGTTTGGCAATAGCAGGCCTGCCACTTCTCCAAAGCAGTAAGTGTGTGAATGGGTTTGGATGGGTAATGACTCCGAAATTAGCAGCTAGCTTTTCTCATGTTTTCACGATGCAGGAAAAACACACCAGAACTTGGCTTGTTTCTGGAAAATTCTTGGGATGCTCCTCGGTTGCTCAGTATGAACATTTGGTCATCATTATCCCTTGTGTAATCAGTTTCTGCAAACTACAGAATGATGTTACAGTTATGTTTAGGGAATAGGCTCCACATCTTCATCAAGTCATTTAGAGACGAGCCTCTTTTGATAACAAGTATTTAAACATATGCGGATAAGGGGTAGATGCCTAACCTGTAATTTATACCAGTGAGAAAAGTAACTGTCTCTCATTGGAAAATTAGAGATGAACCATGTGCCCAAAACACTACAGTATTTTGTATAACGTGAGAAGCATTTACCACACAAATTGTCCCATACAAAAATGACCCATAGAATCCACAAATTCTGAAGTGAATAGAACTCTGCTTTGCATGGGCCTAGAAGGAGTCAGGAATTAGATCCAACCAGTACACAGAACCACAGAACTGCAGGTGCTGGTGGCCCTGTTATTAAAAAAAAAAAAAAAAAAGCTGGGTCTACCACGTGAATAAGCTGAGTTACATTCTCAGGCCAGCTGTTGCTATTTGGGATCTAGTCGGGCATGGATCCTGAAAAAAAAAAGTTAATCTTAACTATTGTGAAAATGTACATTAAACTTATGACTGTACAGGAAAAAAGCTTCCTTAATTCCAAGGCTACATATTTTCGAAGGAATTTAATTCTGACCTCTGAATGAAATTATGCAGTCTCTCCCTCCGCTTGGGGAAGAGAGAAAGGACAGGGAGGAACGGTTTTCTCTTTTCAGGAAGAAACAGTAATCAAGCCTGTTGTTCAGCCAACCAAATCTTCGCAAATTCTCTGATTTCTTAGAGCTCAGAGAGCGTGCTAGAAACCTGTGCCTTCCTCCCGAGACTGATAAGCAAAAAGTTTGCCCTAGCGATGATTAATCTGCACGAAGCGGAGATGGTTTTGGCACCTTGTGTGCGTTAGAAAGATGAGCATATGATTAAGGCCTCCCCCCCCCCCCCCCAGGTCTCGCAGCCCGACTTTGTGTTTTGCTTCCATTTAAGAGCTACCCTTTCAGCTGCTGGCGGGTGCGCACCGAGCCTATTGCCTGTGGCCGTGTCTCCAGGCAGGGCAACTCGGGTCGGCAGAGTGTCCCCCACACGTGTGACTGGTGTCCAGCCGCGGGCGCCCGCTAGAGTGGCAGTCTCCTTCCTCTCTCTCCCCCGCCCCGCGGCAGCTCCAGGCCCAGACCTAGGAAGGGGACGGAAGCCCTGGCCGCAAGCCGCCGTCTGCGCGGGCACCAAACACGCCGCTCCCAGAAACTTTTCGCCCCCAGCTGTGCGCAACTTTCTGCCGGGTGTCCCCGCGGGTCGCGGTCCCGAGTCTTGGTCCCCGGCACCGCACGGGGCTAACGGAGCTGGGCCGAGCGGACCGAAAACCCGAACAGCCGGGAACCGGGGCGCTGCGCCTGCAGTCGGACTAAAGTTCGCGCCCTCCGCTCGGCAGCTCGCAGCCTTCCCTCTCCCCTCCCCGCTACTCGCATTTTTTCCCCCTTGTTGACAGCTGGGCGCTGGCGGCCACCTCCACTTCCACGCCCGCACACCCCGGGGGGCGCCAAAGTTGTTTTTCCATCCACGGAAGGGGGTGGAGGGGTAACAAGGTGGGGGTGGGGGAGGAATAGACATCTTCCACGAAGCCCCTAGAAAGCTCGAGAACAACAAGCAAACAGGCGGCAAACACTGTAGTCTGGACAGTTGTGCAGAGAGCAGAAACTTGTGCTGGCGCGGTCGCCGGTCCCCCCCCCCCAGCCACCCGCGCCGCCGCGCGCACCCCCACCCCGCCTCGCCAGCAGCCCCCCTCCCGGACAGTCCGTTCCCTTTTTTTCTTTTCTCCTTCGGCCCGGGGAGGAGCGGGGCAACTCAGAGCGCCGGCCCGGCTCGGGGGAGCGAGCGCGACCCTGGGCGCGGGTGTAAATCAGTCACCTGAGCGGCCGCCGAGGGGCCGCGGCGAGGGCGCGCGCGGGCGGGCGGGTGGGGAGTGGCGCGGGCGGCGAGCGCGGCCCGGAGCGGCCGGGCGGGGGAGGGAGCAGGCCGAGCGGCGGGCGAGCAGAGGCGACCGAGGGGCTGGTCCAGGCGCGGCCGCTAAGAGGAGACCAAGAGGCGGGGGCTGCACTTGACAACCAGCATGCCGAGATGGTAAGAAGTTTCCACCTCCTCTCCGCCCGCTTGCGTCTGCACTTGGTAGGGACTGACCCGGGCGGGACGCCCCGGGGCCGCGGCGGGCCGCGTTCTCCTCTAGCGCCGCGGCGCGAGGAGGCGGGCAGCCGGCGACGCTCCCCAAATCCACCCCCTCACCCCCAACTTGGCCCCAAGTTCTCGAGGCGGCTACGGGCGGGCGGGCGCGGGTGAGGGCTCCCGCGTCTTAGGTGTCTGCCCGGCAGTCGTGGGCTCTGGGGACCGGGAGCCCTCGGGGAGGGCGCGGGACGCGGGGACGCGGGATGCACGGAAGGACCCGGAGCCGCGACAACTTTCCCAACTTGGCCGGCGTGGGCAATGCCTGAGCGGAGGCTGGGCGTGGGTCCCCGGGGTGCGGCCCGCGTGGGGACCGCAGCGATGCCGGCCCGCGCGGCTGCGGAGGACGCGGACGCCGCCAGTCCAGTCCCGCTAGACAGACACGTGTGTGCTTTCCCAAAGTGCGGTTCTGAAGCAGCCGGCCCACTGCACTTCCACACTGACCGGACCGTGGGATTTGACGCGTGAAAGGGGGCAGATTTTTAAAAAAAAAAAAGTGGGACGGGGGTCAAGACAAAACTAGACAAAATCTCCCGTGGGATGAGGCGAAGATTTCAGAAAACTTGTAGGTGCAGATGGTGGAGGAAAAGGGATGGCGCAGCGCAGTAGGACTCCTGCACAGCCCCTCGAAGGGACCACTTCTCCGCAGCGAGGAAGCAGGCAATTAGTTCACCGGCGATGAGCTGCGATGTCCGCTTTCGGGGAAGTCATTTGTTAGAAATGGGGCTTGACCACTCCTTTCCTTGGAGTTCCCTACCACCCAGTGTCGCTGTTGTTACCCCCACTTGGAGGCTCTGATTTGCAGTGGGCCCTATGTAGATTGGATGTATAAGAAACGGGGGTGCTAGCAGGTTGACTTTCCCCCCCTTTTCCTTCCCCCTGATGTGACATCTCTTGTTTCAGAGATCAAAGTCACAACTGAAATGAAGGAGAAGGTACTGTCAAATGTAGACACACGCACATACAAAATGCACCCATGACTGCGGTTACAGTAATGCTGGCAGAAATTAAAGAGGTTTTGAAAGCAGCGTGCGATTTATGATGCTTCCCATTTACCCTAGAGTCAAGCTGTTGTAAAACTGATGTACAAAAGACATCATAAAATAATCCTGTGTACCCAGGATTAAAGTGGCAGAAAGTGGCCTGTTTTATTATTTTTTATGTGCTTCGTGGACAGTTGTAGTTGTTGGAGCCTGTGTTTAAGTGAGGCATCAAAACAAAATGAGAAATATATCTGTTTAGAGCTGGAGATTTTCTTGTAGCGGCATTTTACACAAGGACCATTATAAAAGCCAGTTGCACACCTTTTTCTTCTTCTGGCCAGTATTGCTGTTTATCTACAGATTATTCCCCTCTCAGAGTCACTTTGAGCGGTGGCTGAGTGCATTTGTCTTCCACTGTTCGGTATCCTGCACTTTTAGATGTTTTTGTGTACAGATGCATGCTCTAAGTGGAATTTATTTCTGGCCCTAAGTGTTTCTGTTCCGAAGGTGTCCTCTAGTACTGAGCCTTGTGCAGTTTGATAAGACTTCCTTTTACCCCTTGGAATCAAGTACGTGAGAATCCCCTGTGAACCCTTAAAGTCTTCTGTGCCTTCTATCATATGTGTAGCCGTTTCATTTAAACTTGTTCAGTCTTAATGAAGTTCTGTGTTGTAGGTACTCTTTCTGTTCTCGGAGAGCTGTGTATTTAAAACCCAGACTGCTGATCACTTTGCCAAAGCACAGGACTAGCTTCACCTGAGGGAAGGACTAGTCAACCTGAGTCTGAACTTTGTATAGGGGATCTTTGCAGGCATGTCTGAAATGCCCCCACCCCCAATCCAGCGAGAATATTGTTGGATTGTGTTTGCATGTAACACTTTGGGTAAAAAAAAAATCAACCTCATGGGATTTTTAAAATAAACATCGAGAAAATATTAATAGCACTAGTGTATTGGTAATACCTGATTTTTTTTCTTCTACCTGAGATGTAAGTTCTCTGTCAGGCGGGGAAATGTGATTACAAAAAGAAGCAGACAAAAGCAGAGCTGACTGTTGCTGTATTAAAATGTAAGTGTTACAGTTTGAATTTCCAAGTGAGAGTTTTGAGTTCAGTGCTTTACATAACATTTTGTCCTAATCTTGCTTGCTGTCAGGGATGTTTCATGGTTGTGCAATTGCCGCAGTCAAGAATGCCAATTTGCATTCCAGGAGTGTCATTTGATTACTTTTATCTGCGAAGCTCCAAGACCGGCCCAGACCTCTCGTTTCATCTTGCCATGTCACGAGTCAATGCTGTGTCGTCTTTTCAAAAATCTGCCTGATTTAGACAAGAAAGAAAAGTACTTTCATGTTGCAGCCGCAGTCCCCTGCTAACTTGTCAGCAGCAGGATATGATTCACTTGGGCCCAGAAGAATGGAACGGAGAGGCGGGTTAGGCGGTTCAATAAAGCCCATGGACAGGTAGCGTGTGACGTCCCTAGAGAGCGGCGGTTAATGAAGAACAGGTCTGCTTAGTTCTCCACAAGCTGCCCTGGTGCTGTCCCCACAGTTTTCTCATTTGATCTTTCCCAGCAAATTGATCTTTTCTTGTATTTTTTTGCCTTCCAAGTTAGTCCTTGAGGGACTGAAATTAGCAGAGCAACTTAAGTTGGATAATACAGCTGTTCAGAAAAGAAGAAATTGGACACTGGCACAAAAAAAGGGGGGGTGGGGGTGAGAGAGGAGAGGGAGCTGTTCTTTTTGTTGTTCCTGGGAATATTTCCTGTATTAAGGGAGTCCAAAGTAGAAGATGACTTGAAGCTAGCGGTTCCCCTTACTTTAAATTTTGCAGTTAAGCTTCAGCGCTATTTGAAATATTCTGCAAACGTTTGAAAGATGGCTTTAGCAAGCATGCAGCGTTTGATTTAGCAATGTTCATATTCACTTGTTTGGAGAGATCTGCCAGTGGAGTAGTGGCTTTTATGACTATTGTAAGATGATCAAAACATCAATGGCATACTTCAACTATATTATTTATAGTCTTCTAAATAACTACAACCTCCAAATATTCAATACTGAATTGCTGAAAAGATTAAACAATAAAAAAGTCATTACCAGCATTGTATATAAATATTATGGTGCATGAAGATTTTTTTTCTACAAATTACCATCAGTATCTTTGTTTTACATAAATTCAGCAGATGCACTGTTAATAAAGTGGGCTATTCTGTGCTCCAAGATTTTTCAAAATTTAAAGGTAGGCTTTTAAAATTGAGACCAGATTGCAAGTTGAATTTGTTTGAAATGTTCACATGTTGGTTTTTGAGACTGAAATTTATTTTTTACAAGATGAGTAAATCCAAATTGAGAATGCAAGCATAGTTCAGACAGGCCAGTTTCACTCTAGAGTGTTTGTACATAGAGCTTAGGTTGGGAGCAATTAATAGTCTTAACTTAATGAATGTATAAAGGAGTGGTGCTTTCTGAATTCCTGTGCAGATGGTCTCATTTAACATCTGCATCCTGACAAGAAACAGAGTTGAAAACAGCAGTTTCCCTGCAACATCTCTTGTTGGTCAGGAGTTACATAGTATAGTTGGTTAGTAAGCTCTCCACAGAGCTAGAGGGAGCCTCATGATTTTATTAGATATACTTAACGTTTACAGAAAGTACTCTGGAAGTCAGAATGTTTCACAATATTGGCTTAGAGTTTAGGCTTGGAGGTGAGATACACACATATACAAACACTTATGCATGCACACTTGCGCACACACACATGCACACGCATGCACACACGCACACACATAGTAGCGACAACAGCAGAATTCCCTTTGCAAGGAGTTAAGGAGTCAGCTAAGCTTTCTAGGACTGTACTTTTTAAGTGATATGAATTAGGAAAAATTCAACCAAAGATATTTTAAGTATAGTGTGTCACTTTGTCAACTGAAGGAGTTATTCACGTGTTGGCAGGCCCACCTTCAAACTCCTATTAAAAGCATCTTCCTACCCAGTCACCGAGGCGCGTACTGCCTTACTCTAGCTCACAAAAGAAAGGTACTTCTCTCCATAGATGATGTTTTGAAGTAGCTCTGTGTACAACTACATATTTTGGAAAGAAACTTCCTTCAAAAGAAGGGCTTCATGTTGTAAACATAAACAAAAAATCACTTGCAAATATGATCTATTATTAATCAGTAAATAAGCTGCATTTAAATGGCAGGACTTGAATGTTTTCACAATTTGGCATTTGATTTCATATTTGTTTATCAGTCCTACCAGTAAAATTTGTGATATGCTTATATTAAATAATCAGTGATCGTGATTTCTTTTCATTATTTATATACTAGTTTTTAGGGGCATTACATTGGACATTTATTTACTGTTTAAGTAAATCTTACATCCAGGGAGATAAACTGCCCAGATTAGTCTTCTTGCACAGTAGCTCTCATTGTGTTGCTGGCCAATAAAAGTCTTTATTTGTTGCTTATTAGAACCCTCAGTACACTCAAAAGTTCAGCTATAATTTAATTTGGCCGTTCAAAGAGCTTCTCTTGTTTTAAAACACGTTCTCAGTTTCCTTTACCAGTTGTTGTGAGCCTATATTCTATCTCATGAATATTCATAAGAGCGGCAGTACAGATGTCATTTTAAAAGTTTTTGCCATAACAGAAGTGTATCATTTTCTCTTAAAAACTTATGTACATAACAGTGTGAATTTTGTCCTCCTTATTGCAATTTCCTCGACATTCTGGAACATTTTTGCTTCTTTTCATAGTAATTTAGATTATTTTGCTCTACTAATTTCAGATGTGTTCCTCAAGGAATACAGCCTGGAAGGTGTGGTGAGGCAGCCGAAAACTAAGTTTGGCAATGAAGAATTCTAGGAAAAGCCCTTCCGCAGTTGTAGCCCCTTGAAATTAGGAGAGGTTTGTTTTGTACTTT